TCGAAAGCGGGCTTGGCCCGAAAATCGCACTGCCCAGCGCCAAAGATGTACTTCCAAAATCCTGGCTCGAAAGTTGCATCTTTTCGTCATCAACCAAGCGCACTCGAATCACGGCCGCAGCCCGGCTCGAAAGACGGAACTAGTTCTTTTAGGCGCCAAAGAAGCGCACCAAAAGCACGACCGCAACACCGGCGCGAAAGTCACAACTTTTCAGCGCCAAAGAAGCACACACGGCGCGACCTCGACATCACGTTTCCTTCCTAGGCTGTGACAACAATCGCATCCGGGAGCATGAGCCGGCCATGCTCAGCATCGCACAGCATCACGCAAATGACGCTGCGCGCAAAAGCGTGTGAAAATCTTTCTTTATCTCGAAGGCGTGGTTCGCGGGGGGGAGGGGGCGGGGGCGCGGTTCAGCACCCGCTGAGCGCCTTGAAAACGCACACCCCAATGCCACACGCAATATTAAGGGTCTCTACTGAACAACTCATATTCGGCTGAAGGAATTTCTCTGATGCGTGAAGAGAACACCCCTTGTTGAGTCAAAGAAGACTGAAGAAGAAACCAAACGGGCTTCCTACCGTAGAAAAAGAGGTTGTGGGGTTAGTCTCCCTTATTGAAAGCAATGTGTGATGGGCGTGTTGCGACTTGCGTTTCGCACTACATGTGAGCGTTGCAGCATGACGTGACTCATATTTGTGCGCTCCGCATGGTCTGTCGCCAGACACGCTTGCCCGCCGGAAAAGAAGCAGCGCAGCCTCCGCAAATCAGATCCGGCCACACATTGGGGGGGATCCTAATGGACCCATTTGCGCTACGCGGAGGGTGCTACTATATGGTTTCTCTCCACCCACTCTTTCGTGTTTTTGCAGCACTGCAGAGCAACTTAAGTGGTGCGTCGCTCGGCCTGCAGCCGTTATATGTGGAGCCCAGAATGTGCCTTTTCAGCGCCCGTTATGTCGAAGGCGCCTTTGTTGTTAGGAAAGTTCGCACTATGGGGAAGCCACATGTGTTTTGCCAGCCCAGACTTGCGGGCCTTTCAAAACATGGGCGGGTGCCTTACACTTACAGGACCCGCGTTTTGAAGACCGTTGGGCAAACCACAAGATTTGAAAACCTTTGGGAAAACCAAGTGTTTGTGATTTCTGGAAGCGGCGCGGGTCTGGATTTCCGCCGCCGCATAACTTCGACATTTGTTGAAATCTAGGCGAAAACAGCGTGTGATTTCAAAACTTGCCTCGGATCTTCGACTAACGGTTCACGGTTCTGCGGAACCGTTTTGGTACTTGTTGAGTTTGCGCCAAAGCTTTGAAGAACCCTTCGAATTCAATTTTGCGGAGCCCTCCCGAGAACCTGTTTTGCTCGACAAGGTCCGCGGTATAGCTGTCCCGACCCCCCCCTCCCATTTCTGTTTCAGATGTGTGAAGCAAGCCTAAAGACCTTGCAACGTGTTTATACTTGGGGTGCCACTTGACTCTGGGATTCAAAAGGCCAAAAGAAAGGCCTTTATAGAAAGGGCCTTTGTTTATATGGCTGTTGGAGTGGGGTTTGGTGGCGGTTCAAGAGTTCAAACATAGCATTGGTGTTGGTGTTTGCCATGGGGGCCTTGTATCTTGAAGTTTGTCGCCGTCCAAAGGGCTTTCTAGCGAGAGAGAGAGAGAGAGAGAGAGAGAGAGAGAGAGTGAGATAGGCATCAATTTAACTTAGTTTCATATTGAAGGCTTGGCTAGATCTGAGCGCGTTGTACTACGGGCCAATATCCTTCTCGATAATGATATGTCGTTGAAATAACTTATTCTTCTTGACTGCGAGCAAAGAAACTAGCTTGCCACTTACAAGGAATTGACGTTAAGGCAAGGCAACTTGGATATATGTATGATGCGGGGTTTGATTGAATTCGTTTCCATCCGTGCTTGCCGCCAGGCAAAGGCGAGTGATTAGGTTATAGTAGGCGAAGGCAGTGCCTGAAAAGGAGGCGCTGCTTATGTTTAACATGAGCTGCACATTGGTGCTATATCGGGCTGTGAAACCTGCCAGCCTACCCTTACTGCACTCGTGATTTGTTCTTCTGCCCCGCAATGCAGTTTTTGATTAATTTATACAACACCCGTCGACGCGATTCGAGCGACTGCAACAGCCAAACCCACCCGCGCAGCGTAATTCTTTGGAGGGCCTGCCTGCCTCCTGTGATCAGTTGCACCGGTGCTTGCAACTTTCACTGCTTTGGGAAGGGTCAACGGTTCCTCCACTGCTTGCCGGTTGGGCGTTGCTTGCACGCGATGCGTTTGTTTTAGCCGCGTTTGCAGTTGCATCGCCATTTGCAAGGGTGTCCGTCTTTCAGCTGTGTGCCAGCCTGGGGGATCAAAATGGACAACTAACAAGGGTGATAAGCATATACCTTGCAGTGAACAGACGTGAATGCACGTACGTGAGCCATGTTTGGCAAACAGCGCAAGGTCCAGTGTCTAGTTTCAGCCAGAACTAGCCATGCTACGAGTTCACGCCTAAAAATGGCCGTTTACGCCCTAAACAGGCCTTTCAC